AAACATTCGTCTACTTTTCACCTTTCTGGAAACATTTTATCTGCTTTCATGTCATTTGTTTTAAAATCTTAGCATGAATTGATTTCTAAAAGTTTTTTGTTTTGTTTTTGTTTATTATTTTACTTTTTGACCCAGACGTTTTCCCAGAGGATCATCAGCTTCCTAATTAACCAGCAGCTGCAGGTGAAGCTTGTCATCTCCCACACAATGATCAATGGCACCAGTACCCCCCAGGGCTGTGTTGTCTCCCCATTCCTCTTCTCTCTGTACACAAATAACTGCACCTGAGCAGATGAGGCCACTGTCCTTGAGTCTGCCTACAAACAGGAGTTGGATCTGTTGGTCCTCTGGTGTGTCTAGAATCAACTGGACCTTAATCCAATCAAGACTGTGATGATGATGGTGATCGTCACGAGATCAAACCCAACCCATGCTTCCTTGATCACCCTCAACAATGCTGTGTCTACCATAGATAACTTCTGTTCCCCAGTAACCACCCTTTTTAAAGCCCTAAGGTGGTCTTTACAGTAGATAAGTATTGTTATGAAAGGGTCCAGCAGAAAGACATTTAACTTCCTCCAGCAACTAAATAAGTACAGTCCTCTACATGAGGTGCTTGTCATTCTCTACAATGCCATCATTCAGTCTTTTCTGTGTCATCCATCCTCTTATGGTTTGGCACTAATACACTGCGCTATTAGGCCTGCAGAGAGAACCATTGGACACACCCTCCCTCTATATTTAGGACTTTGGATCTGGAGTCAGGAAAAAGCAAACTTTGTAAACCCTACACATTCTAAATAACATTTTATCAGAATACAGAGTAAAATTTACAAAAAGTATTCACCACAGCTGTCTCTCTGATGGTGATAATGAACACCTTACAGCCAGAGACATCAACTAATCCACAATGAAACATTAGAAGCATAATTAAGCGTACTACTCCAATCTTTCTTTATATTTCTTTATTACAAAAATGGTGCTATACATATATATTAATTTACATTTAGTTCCATTTATCTATCACCATTCTTATCAAATATATTTATCTTTAAATATTGTCTTTAAACAGTGAGTGCTTGAAAACTGTTTGTGAACAGTCTTGACAAATAATGCTGTGTAAGAGGGTAGAGTACTTTGAAGACATCCTTAATCCCAACAACGTTGAGGAAGCAGAGCCTGGTGGCTTCGTCCTGGCCGTGGAATATTGGATCAGCTCTACACCCTCAGCAGGATCCCGGAGGGTGCATGGGAGTTTGCTCAATCAAATCTACATGTGTTTTGTGGATCTGGAGATGGCATTCGACTGTGTCCCTCTGGGGGCACTGTGGGTGTACTCCGGTAGTATGGAGTCTCTAAAGTTCTGCTCTCTCTGCCTTTTCTCATAGTAGCTTTGCCTCGTCTGTTCCTGTTTGGCTGAGACACCACCGTGGAGAGAAATATCAGCTGTGCTGCTGCCATCAACACCTTTGTTTATAGATGCTGGAGATCGAC